TAATGGAAAGATTTCATTATATATATATATATATATATAAATTATTGCCTAAAAATCATGACAAAGAAATTGAATTCTTTGAAAAGAGATTAGCGGTGCGGGTATGAGTGTTAAAAAAAAAATAGACCAAATCATCACGCGCACCAAAATCAAGCTCCTTTTACTGTGTAATTAATTTGAGTAGGGGTAGGAAAATTGTCGAGCCAACTCAAGACCGAAGTCTATTACAATGTTGGTTTTGTAGATGGAGATGCTTTGAGGACATTTAGGCCATGTTTATTTAAATAGATATGCGCTTGGAATTAGACTAGTAGCCCAATAAAATTATTAATTTGATATTTGGTTAAAAAATTAAAGTACGGACTAACAATCTATTTGGATGTGCTATCTCACATATGATGGACTATTCAATCCCACATAAAGGATATGATATAAATTGGGAGACTAAGTCAAAATCTGGACTAACTTATAAAAGGACCATAATAGAGGTATTATGGTCAATATATTGGATATCTCATGTCCTATCCATTCCAATCCCCTTAAACAAACATCGGATTGGATAATATATTATTAATCTCTCGTTATAATCCTAACTCAATCCAAACATAGGATACAATGCACAACCTAAAGAATTCGTAGTCATATGACTATTAGTCATAGGAATGCTAATCCAATCTAATCTAGTCCGTCCAAACAAATAAAGCCCTAGAGCATTGTTTAATATAGGATTAAAGTGCAAAGTTTATTGAAAATATGTAAAAAAAAATTAAAAGAGTTTGAAAATCAATGAAAAATATTTTAAAATGAAAGAAAAGTGTCTTATATTTTTAATATTTTCTTTTTACCTTTTTGTTGTATTTAAAGACACTTGTTTTGTTTTGTTTTGTTTTTTGTTTTTTGTTTTTTTTAAATTTTTTTAATGAGTAAAAAAGAAATTTTATTGATGAAATCTAATGTAAAACACTGACACAAACACCATTAAACTAAAGGTAACTGAAAAAAGTACCATAGTAAAAATTTTCAATCCCAACTAATTGGTACCAAGAAACTAATACTAAAGATACTTGTTAACATGAGTTTTTAAAATGTGGCTATGTTTTGGTGATTCTAGGTTGGCTTGGCTATGATGTTTAATTCGAAGAATTGGGTGAGTATAGGAGGTTTACTCTATCAGTTGCAAGATTAGATCTTAGGAGACTCCAAACTTCTGAATAATTAATGGTAAATAAAGTCAAAAAATGCACTTATTTAGAACATCTCAAACCAAATTATAAATACATCTCTTGATATTTGTCTAAAATACAAATTATCTCATGTGGTTTGAAAAATTATAAATATCCTATGTTAGAATTTTCTATTTAATGAAATTAGTTTAAAAAAAATGAAATTCTTAACTGCTCACATATATAATAAAATTACTTGAAGTATTAATTGAAATAAATTTATGATATTATTAAAAATTGTTAATTAACTTGATAATTTATTAATAAAAAAGGCTATTTGTTATAAAATAGGAAACTTCAAAGGGTAAAACGTAATTTTTAAAATTATAAGGAAAAATTTATATTTTAAACAAACTCAAGAGAAGTGTATTTATACAAAAATGCTAGATATTCCAAAAAATTTTATCAAAAGTTCTACCAAGGGTGTGGTTTGAGTCTCACGCCCATGTGAGATATTTGATAAAAACTTTGATAGAATTTTTAAAATTTCTAACATTACTCATATTTATAATTTATCTACATTCACTACAAGAATTAACACTTTTGCCGACCAAAAAATTGGTCGCTAAAAGTCCATTTTTGGTCGGCAAAAATTATCTGCGACCAATTTTTTTGGTCACTACTTTGGTCGCCAATTGAGGGTCGGCAAAAGTAATTTGCGACCAAAATTTTGGTTGGTCGGGAAAAGTCGGATTTGCCGACTAAATTTTTGGTCGCGAAATATATCATTACCGCGACTAATTCATTTAGTGGCTGAAACACTTTGGTCGCGAAAAGTGATATTTTCCTGACCAAAAAGTTTGGTCGCCAATGATCACATTCAACGACCAAAAAGTTTGGTCGCCAATTGTGACATTCCGCGACCCAAAAAGTTTGGTCGCCAATCGTGACATTCCGCGACCAAAAAGTTTGGTCGCCAATTGTGACATTCCGCAACCAAAAGGTTTGGTCGCCATTTGTTACTTTTCGCGACCAAAACTTCTGGTCGGCAAAAGTGAGTTTCCACGACCAAAAGCTGTTTTGGTCGGCAATAAATGTATTTTTTGCGACCAAAACTCTTGGTCGGCAATTGTCATTTTTTACGAAAAAAAATTATTTATTTGTCGCGACTAATAAATTGGTCACCAAAGTAGGAAAATAATGCACCTGCAATTCCTAATAATTCATTCAATCCATAATAAACCTATAATTTTAAAGCATCAATCAAATTAAGTGAACAACCTTGGTTAATGATGCCACCTTGGTTAATGATGCCACCACATCAAACAATTATTTGTACCCCCAAAGTCAAATGTAGTGCTAAATTTTGTACATTGCCATTCATTTAATTAAAATCCAAATTTAATTTCCTTCAAAAAAAAAAAGAAAAAAAAAGAGTATATAACTTGTTAACCAAGTCCAATGTAATGGCAGATCAATCATGAGCCTTGTGAAATGCACCTCTTCAGAAGACAAATTGCACAAAGACTATGGTATCTGAAATAACACAATCAAGATTACATCACCTTCTTATTGCTGGCTGCATCTTCCGCTTGTTTAACCAATGCTGTACCTTCAGCAGTAACATGCTGCATAAAGAAAAACCCAGCCAAACTTCAAAATAAACAAGGGGAAGAAACAAATAATACCAGAGGCACAATGCTACATTCTTTACAGAACAATGTACTGCAAGTTAAAGACCAAAACCTGTTTAAATATACTAGAAACCGGATTTAAACCTCCAGGTATTTTGGAAAAGAGCCTATACATCCTTGTTAAATCCTCTACCTACAAGAGAATAGGAAAAAAATGTTAATAAACTTCAGTTAATTGCAACTGAAATAACAGCAAGAAGGCTTGAATAATAACATTGTCCAAGTCTGATAAAAAAAAATGATCCAAATGACTACCTTGTCATCCCTAAGCAATGCATGACATCCAGAGTGCTCCTGCTTGAGCAATTGGGTTGCATAAACAGACAACAATTCATGTTGAACTTTCTATAGGAAGACAAAATTACCTATAATTATAACAGTGAAAGTGCATATCTTCAAAATTGGCCTGAAAATAAATAAATAAATAAATAAAAGAAGTAACCATTAAAAGACTAATTATTATTGGGTAGAAAGAAATTTAGTATGACTTTACAAGAGGAAGAACAAACCTCAAGCAACTTCAGCTCGCTACTAGAATGTAGGTAATAAGCAACCCTATCCTTCTCTCATTTCAAACACTCCTCAACCTAGAGTTACAAAAGGATTTTTTAGAAATTATATAGGATTATCAAACAAATATATCTGACCTTAACAAGAAAAAAAGAAAATGAATAGATGTTTACTTTCAACATATAATCTGGACAGGAATCTTCCAAGATCCAGTTTGAAGCCTTTCGAGAATAATAATCCGCGGTATCTTTCAGCATATCTGCTTCAAAGTCATTCTCACAATGATCCATTTGCCCCATTCCGATCTCAACAAATATATCCAAAACAAAGTCATTCTCATAATATATCCATTTGCCGCATTCTTATGAGATGATCCAGCTTCTTATGGGCTGATAATCTGCATACATACCCATCATTTGTTATGGATGAAGATCAAGCTGACTATTATAGCTAAAGTATATATAGTCAGCATATCTTCATTTGCTCATAAATAATCAAGAAGAGGGACTGCCCCCTATAAGCTCGCAATTGTAAATATAGTCAGCATATCTTCATTTGCTCATAAATAATCAAGAAGAGGGACTGCCCCCTATAAGCTCGCAATTGTAAATATAGTCAGCATATCTTCATTTGCTCATAAATAATCAAGAAGAGGGACTGCCCCCTATAAGCTCGCAATTGTAAATATAGTCAGCATATCTTCATTTGCTCATAAATAATCAAGAAGAGGGACTGCCCCCTATAAGCTCGCAATTGTAAATATAGTCAGCATATCTTCATTTGCTCATAAATAATCAAGAAGAGGGACTGCCCCCTATAAGCTCGCAATTGTAAATATAGTCAGCATATCTTCATTTGCTCATAAATAATCAAGAAGAGGGACTGCCCCCTATAAGCTCGCAATTGTAAATATAGTCAGCATATCTTCATTTGCTCATAAATAATCAAGAAGAGGGACTGCCCCCTATAAGCTCGCAATTGTAAATATAGTCAGCATATCTTCATTTGCTCATAAATAATCAAGAAGAGGGACTGCCCCCTATAAGCTCGCAATTGTAAATATAGTCAGCATATCTTCATTTGCTCATAAATAATCAAGAAGAGGGACTGCCCCCTATAAGCTCGCAATTGTAAATATAGTCAGCATATCTTCATTTGCTCATAAATAATCAAGAAGAGGGACTGCCCCCTATAAGCTCGCAATTGTAAATATAGTCAGCATATCTTCATTTGCTCATAAATAATCAAGAAGAGGGACTGCCCCCTATAAGCTCGCAATTGTAAATATAGTCAGCATATCTTCATTTGCTCATAAATAATCAAGAAGAGGGACTGCCCCCTATAAGCTCGCAATTGTAAATATAGTCAGCATATCTTCATTTGCTCATAAATAATCAAGAAGAGGGACTGCCCCCTATAAGCTCGCAATTGTAAATATAGTCAGCATATCTTCATTTGCTCATAAATAATCAAGAAGAGGGACTGCCCCCTATAAGCTCGCAATTGTAAATATAGCAGTCCCAGTCAATGTGCAGACCATAAGCAACCAATAGTAACTACACACATTTTTTCTGCCTTGGTTGACAAAGAATAAAGCAACTTGGCAGAAGATTTGTCTACAGAAGTCACTTACTTCTAGAGAATTGACGGCAAATTCAAGGGCAGCATTTGTTTCTGTTGGTCCATTCTGCATCAGAAAATAAAAAAGCATAGGCCTATTCAGAATTTTGCTTCTAATACACTTATTACAACCATATATTTCCGTTTTCCCACATTTATGCTTACAATAAATGAAGAACTAGTAGTACTAAGCTAAAGCCAAGAAAACACAAATGCAATGTATATGGTACCTCAAATGGGGGCACCATATTTGCCACATTGCGGACTACAAAGGCTTCTCTGGGTTGAAATCCTAGGATGTAGGAGAGACAAACCCTAGAGTCTGCACAAGCAATGACCATGAACTGTTCTTGCAAGCATTAGTTAAGAAAATCTTAACCAGTTCAGCACAAAATTGAGGCAAATTGCCAATGTAATCCCCAGATGGCTCCAAAATATATCATGGACTAAAAAAAAGTTAACCCTAAAAAACCCATCATACCTTCGGTGCTTGACTCTTGGCAAGATTTTCATAGCATTCCAAGTTCTCCCTGTTCAAAGAAAACATCACATCAGGGAAACTCAATTTTCTGTGAAGCTAAACAAGAAGATGTCAGAATTATAAGCTTGCTTACAGGAATTTCTGCCTTTTGAAACTCAGAAACTGATGTTTCATTTCATTGAACAGATCAGACCCATTTTGAGTTCCTATTATGCTTCTGTCATAATTTCAGAGTACGATAGAATATTATGACTGAGCCATCCATAGCTGCATGAATTCATTGATTTCTCTCACCAGGGTGAACATTAATTAACTAATATCATAAACTAAAGGTGAAGACAGTCTTACATAAATTTCATTGGTCTGATATCTCAGTGCCAAATTCTGCAAAACTCCAGGCTCATGCAAATATGATAGCTTAGTCATGTCATCGACTCCACCAGCAGGAGCTTCCATAACCTTTGGATAAATTTTCGATAAACTAGCAACAACCTGACCATAGAAACCAGGGGAAATTTCAAGTAGATGAATGAAGCCAAATAACTAAATCAACAGACATAATATTCAATTTACAAATGTTGAAGTCAAGTTGCACAGGTATTCATTATTTCACATGGAATTGTCAAAAACTAAGGAATACATGCAAAAGTACTTTTTTTTCCATTCATTAACCAGGATAGGCATATGAAATAGTATGATATAATGAATTTTTTGAAAAGAACCAATCAATTTTCAGGTTGAAAACCAGACAACTCTCAATTATTAAAGAAAAGACAGAGAACACAAACAGTTCACTTTTGAGGAAATGCAACTTCAGTGGTAGATACAGATCTTACTTTTGAAGATCCAAAAATATATGAAATTGTACCACACAAAATAAACAACATACATCGTAATTACCAAGTAATTCATAGAAAATAGATTTAAACCACACGATGTAATTAGACTAGGGAGTGGAGTACTGAAATATACAACACACAGAAATAAACCCAAGAAACATCTGATTTTTGGAAATCGTCTTACTTTGACTTAAACTAAGTTAACCTTTTAGAGAAGAAAAAGTTACATTCATGCAGTCATTATCCATAGTGGCTGTCCAGTGATTTTAAATGCTCAAGGCACACCAAGGCGCCAGATTCAGGCGTAGGCGCAAGGTGAGGCGCACCTTTTTGGTAAGAAATAGATAAACTAATAATTCAAACTTGAACAAAAGCAAAATGAAAGAACACAGGTAAATTGTAGAAGAATTCTCAAAGCCATAAAAGCCACATATCATTCCAAATGCAAAATAGTCAACATTCAACAAAACTAATAATTACTAAGCTTTACTCTAATAGTCATTCTGTATCAAATTTTATTGTCCTTAGATAATTTATTGCTTGTACCAGAATAACCTAAACATTAATAATCACAACATTATTTTAGCTAATAGTTTTTAAAGTTAGAACTTTAATTTTGAAGTTAGTAATATTAATTTCACTATTTGACTTATAAAAATATGTCTATTATATGAAAAGTATAGTGATACGGCATGAAAAACTAATACTTGATGGAGAGGATTATTTCATCGTTGGCGACATCTACTGACCATAAGAACAATTCAGCCCACCATAAAACAAACTACAGCTTGATGGTAGTTAAATTTTCAAAATTCACTGCACCTTATAATTATAAATAAGTTTCATTAGTTATGAAATTAGCCGTAGAGAATGAGGAAAAAAGACTAGACATAGATCGGAGCACAGTGAAGATCTTAGCTCATAGTATAACAATCAACTAAATGGTAAAAACATAACCCTTATTTCGTGTATTTCCCTTGAACCCATACCTAAATGTGGTCCATTAGGTAAGCCAAAGGCACTCCTGCCTTCCTAAGATCCCACAAAACTCAGCCTACAGTTCTGACAGATTAGAAATGACAATCTACAGAACAAGCAGTCTCATTAAATAAACAATCACTGTAACTCTTATCAATTCTCGAGTCTTTTTAAGCCAACATACTAAAGTTAAAGTTACTCTTAATTATCTCCCAAAAGCAGATAATTCCAAGAAATTATTCAGTGACTTGAATTCCTTGAACATTTAACTGTGAATAAAAATAAATAATACTCACAAATTCAGCAACAAAGTGTTGAACAAACTTGATTAGTTAGAGATATTATGAAAGGAAACATATTTCATTATGCCACTTAGATTGTAACTATCATCTGTCCACTTACGTTTATTAACTATTGTAATTGGATCACCCAAAAAAAGCACTTTTTTGCAATTATATTGCAAAATATATATATACAATAATAAGGAAAACGGAAATGGCCATTGCCCAGTGCTGGTCTACATTAGTCGAGGATTCCAGATTGGGTGGATTGGTATGGATCTAACTTTTCTTCTTATTTACACAAAGTCGTAGTTCATTGCACTAAAACCCACATTCTCATGGTTATAAGCTCGAATTTTTAACAATTATATTAATAAAACAGGATGTCTTAATTTTTGATTATGTAAAAAAAGTGTAAAAAGTTTTTTCTCAGCTTGCTCAATTTTTTTCATGTTGTGTTGTTGACACAAAATTCCAAAAACAAAATTACACTAATTTCACCCAACATATTGACAGATCAACCCACTGAAATAAATCATCCAAAGAATGGTCACACTAATCACATCAAAATCAAATTAACTTCATGATAGAAATGAAGAAAAGTACTTACACCAAAATCAGAGAGCTTGAATTCGAGATCGCGAACAAATGAAACCATAAAAGGGTCTTTAGGGTTTGGCACCAGAACTTCATTCGCAGTTATAATCGCTTTAATATGTTCCAAATTCACAACAATAGCCCTCTCTCTTCGGAGAATCGCAGAGGGGTTCGAGAGCTCTGGTTCAACAACCCTCAAATCCTGAGCCTGGACTCCACTCCTCCGCATTATCTCTTGCTTCCCAGTTTATTGTTACACTGTCTTGGAGTATGAATATCATCGACTCCACTATCAAAGTCCTCACCATTGACACATAACACACAATCAGAAATGAACAAATAAACTAAGAGTCACAGATCTAAAAAAAAAAAAAAATCACCATTGACACAGAAATGAACAAAAAATCACCATTGACAAACAATCTTAGTCACACAGAGTGACACAGATCTGAATAACACAAAAAAATCAGAGATCGGAGAGGAAAGAGAGACAGAGACAGCGACATAGAGATCCGTACCTGGGAGGTCGATCGGTGCGATGAGAGTATGAGGTCGGTCGGTCAATCTTGCGATGAGTGAGAGTCGATCTCTTGCGAGGTTGATCGGCCGAGATGAGTGATGGGATGAGAGTGAGAGAGTGAGTATGAGAGACTGATCAGATGAGAGTGAGATGAGAGTGAGAGCCTGAAAAACGAGAGAGAGTGTGGGAGGAGAGCTGCGTAATGTGTTTTTGAGTTTAGGGTTTTTTTCCTTTCTTTGTTTTGTTTGGGTATAGATGAAGTGAAGTGAACGGTCCAGATCTTCTAAAAAAAAAAAAAAAAAGGTTATGCGGGCGGGTTGGTCGGGTGCGGTTCAAACCCGCAACCCGCCGACAACCCGAAAATTAGAAATATTTCAAATCGCACTCTATCCTATTATATTTGCGAAACCGCCCATACGCGTACGGGTAGGGTCGGGTAGGACGGGTTGTGCGAGTCGAATGACCCTATGCCCAGCCCTAATTCCCACCTCCACGTTTCAAATTTCCTTCCCAAATTTTTGGCGACCAAATATCATATTAGTCGCAGAAAAGGTACCTTCGCCGACAAATTTTTTTAGTCGCCAAATCTCAATCAATGGCGACTAAAATATTAGTCGCTAAATGTACTAATTTGGCGACCAATTTTTTTTGGTTGTTGAAAATAAGTTTTTGGCAACCAAATTTTTGGTCGCCCAAAAATATGTGACCTTCCGCGACCAAATTTATAGTTGGTCGGCAAAAACATACCACTTTCTGCGACCAACTCATTTTTTGGTCGCCAAAATATAACCTTTTGCGACCAATAATATTTGGTCGCCAAAAATAATGATCATTCGCGACTAATTAATATTTGGTCGCCAAATGTCATTTTTTTGCGACCAAAATTTTTTTAGTCGACAAAAGTGGTCGACAATTGTGTAAATTCTTACAGTGATTTTTTTTAATATTTACGATGCCATCTAATCCAAGCCCATCATAGTTCCATAATTATTGCCAGGGTTAATTACTGGTAGGTCACGTTATAAGGATACATGTAACCATTATGTCTTACAACTATTTGTATGGAACAAAAAGTCTTATCAATTTATCGCTAAAAGTTGGTTCTGTCAGAATCGTCGCTAAGGAGATCTTTTGTGATAATTTTATGAATTTGTCGCTAAAAAATGATAATTAATAATATTTTTTGTGACGAATTTTTCAATTATCGTTAAAAATGAACAATTAGTGACACTTTCTTATGAAAACGTTGCTAAATTTTTTTTTAAAAACTAGTATTTTGTAATAACAATTAAAAATGGATAGAACTTTTTGGTGCACCAAAAAGTCCAGATGCCTTGTGTTGCAATCTCCCTAATAAGACTTTTTAGTCATTTACAAATTTTGTTATACGGACATGTGTACCATTAAGTTGCATAAACGTTTATATAGATTAAAAAGACATAAAAATTGATAATTAATGACGCTTTTCTAAAAATGTCACTAAAAGTTTAGAATTAGTTGCTTTTTTTTTGTTGTAAATCTATCGCTAAAAAACAACAATTAGTGACATTTTTATGCGGTGATTTTCTAAATCTATCGCTAAAAATGACAATTAATAACTTTTTTCTGTGACAAAATTTTGAAACTGTTACTAAAAACAAACAATTAGTGACCCTTTTTTTTTATAAAAATGCAACTACAAAAAATTGAATTTTGTAGTAATAATAAAAAGTAAATAGGATTTTTTGATGTACCAAAAGTCAAGATGACTTATCAGTGCACCTATCTTCCTAATAGGACTTTTCAGCCTTTCACACTTAATTTTTAATTTTATCACAAACTACTTTACCACACATTTATATTATAGGATTAAATTCATTTACCTCTGTGTGAATTGAGGTCGGAGCACTTTACCCCATAGTCAGAAAACTTTGAAATGATTTTAGACTAAAGTGCTACTATTAGTTTTTTCATTCAAAATAATGGAAGGTGTAGGTGTATTACACACAATGTTTTAAAGTGAGTTTGGTTTGTTTGTTTGTTTGTTTGTTTGTTTTTGTTTTAAATTAGAGTGAAATCAACAACAAAAAGACAGTTTTATCTTATTTTCTCCAAATCTAAAATTTGATTTATATGTTAATTAAAATATAATTAAGAATTGACTTAAAATAATATTAAATAAAAATATAAAATAAATAATAATTAAGAATTGATCTAAAATATAATTAAATTAAGATTTGATTAACATGTTAGGAATTATAATAAATAATTAAGAATTTACGATTAGTTGTTATCTAAAATATAATTAGATTAAAAAGTAAGTAATTACAATAAATAGTTAAATATTTAGGATTAATTGTAATCTAAAATGTAATTAAAATAAAAACAAAAATTACATTACATTACATAATTAAGAATTTATAATTAATTATGATTTAATTGAATTAATATTAAACATTACAAATTATATGTATGAGAGATGAGATAGAAAATAACAAAAAAAATATAGGATTTTGAGATATTATAGTTAATTTACATCTATAGTTAACGGTGTTAACGAGTTTAGTGATATTATAGTCATTTCATATGAAATCTTTCTAGCTATATTTGAACCAAAGTGGGGTAAAGTGCTCTGACCTTGCCGATCAAAAAAAAAAAAAAAAGAAAAGTGCTCTGGCCTTAAACGACAAAGGAGTAAAATAAATTTTGCCTTTTATTTTAAAAGTAACACTAGGTTTCATAAAAAAAATAACATGAAAAGTTTCATAAAAATTCTCCACCATTAAATTAGTTTGTAGTATTTTATTGTATGTTATACAATCACATACACTAATTTATAACATATCAATCATAGAACACTACACAAAACTAAGTTTATACTATTTGCAAATTAAGATTTCAAAATTAAGATATGCTTACATTATGGTAAGTTGTTTTCTTGTTTTGTTACCTACCATACTAGATTATTTAAAAAAAATTCATAAAACTTTTCTTGATATTTCTTTTTTCTTTTTTTTGATCAGCAAAGAAAAATTTCATTTAATAGTATGAAATTAAAAGTACAGGAGGATGAGATGCATTGAGAGAGATTCGGAAGTATAAAAATACCCCTACTACTGCTACTCGCATCCATACAACCAACCCCTAAGCCTCTTGATTTTTTAAATAAAAAAGTTAAGAAGAACTTAACAAGATTAAAATACATGAATCCCCACAAAATAACCCACAAAGACACCCAAAACAAACTAACAAACTAAACAAGACCCACGTCACAGCTGCTAAACAAACTAAAATAAAAGAACTAAACTAAAGACACCCAAGCAGCCCGAAAGCAACCCCGCCTCTGCCAAGACCACGTCACTACTGCTACAACTCCCCATGCCTCACACCTCTGCTGCATCAACTTCCCATGCCTTAGCTGCATCAACACCCTACGCCTCTCAACTCCCAATGCCCACTCCGGCCGAGAAGACTCCAAAGCTACCACCGGGAAGACTACACTTCATGACTACACCTCCTCAGCCCACTCCACCACCGGGAAGACTCCAATGCCCACTCCTCAAGACTACACCTCCTCTGCTGCAATAGGTCTTCTTCACCCAATACCCACGCCCTGTTGCCAAACTCCGAAGCCAACACCGGAAAAAGTCCAAGCTGCTACTACTCCTCTCCCTGAAACAAAATCCTAACGGCTGAGGCTTACAGGATAACTTTGGAACCAACAGGTCTTCAATCTCACACCGTGGATCCACACACCCACCGAACACCGACCACCCGCTGGGACACCTCCATACATATGGTAGAACTTCACCCCTCAAACTCTCACTCGAGGAAGAGCGCTCGAATGACAACCGGACAGAACTGGATCGCCTACGATTCCCTTGTTTCCGCCCAAAAAGCACACCCCTCAAACTCTTACTCGCCAAAAAGCACTCGAATGAAATACCAGGACGCCCTTGCTGAATTAGCTATTACGGCAAGGTTGAATCACAAGAGGACAAACGATGACAAACCTGTGCGGCCCCTGAAGAAAAATCTAGACACACCAAACACTCTCCCGCAGCAACAAAACACACCTAGATGGGGAGAAATGGGGGACTCAAGTTTATTGAAAGAAAAAAACTAACAAGACAACCGCTGAAACGAGCTAGGCCAGCCGACCGCCATAGCCAAAGGCGGCGGCCAACTGACCCAAAAAGAGGCCGGAGAAATGGGGGACTCAAGTTTCTTTATGAAGCCTAACATTATGCAAATTATTTGGGGTGATCTACTTTAGATAATTTTTTTATCTTATTTAGGTCACATCACTTTTTATTAGGGTTACATCACTTTTTAATCACTTTGCATATCTTTTTATAAAAAAGTTAAATAAATATACTTATTTAAATTATTTCAAACAACGTTTATTTATTTATTTTAAATAAAAGATAAGATCTTTTGTTTAGATTTGTGTTTGGTTGTCTCAAATTCTCTGTATCACACCAGTTACATAAAATAAAGTAATTAATTAATTACGTGTTGGAGAACATAATTTAGGGCGGAAAAACCAAATGAATGGAACAAAGATTTTGTGTGAAGAAAACAATAAACAAAGCGTTAACATCAATATCAATTGCATCTCCTACGTTAATTGCGAAGCCAAAGTCTCTTATTAAAACAACTCAACCAACCATACTCTTCACCTCTCTCATCTCATCACTTTCCTCCATTCAACTCAACTCCTTCTTCATCATTCTCAAACTCAATCATGTCCCATGATCAGCAAAACCAGCCTGGCATTGCATCTTCTTCATCATTCTCAAACTCCATCATGTCTCATGATCAGCAAAACCAGCCCGGCATTGTATCCAATCCTGACGGTACGTATACACGGTTGATACAATTACCAAGCACCCCAGCCACACCCGATCGCAACACCCACTCTCCTGTTCTCTCCAAAGACCTTCCTCTAAACCCTAAAAACCAAACATGGCTCCGAATTTATCTCCCCAAACAAGCCCTTGACAAACCATCCACCACCCCCAATCTCATGCTCAACCTTCCTGTAATAGTTTACTTTCATGGCAGTGGCTTTGTCTTCACGAGCGCAGCCTCAACCATCAACCATGACTTCTGTGTCAAACTTGCCGCCGACCTCTCTGCCGTAATCGTCTCCGTCGACTACCGTCTTGCTCCCGAACACCGCCTACCCGCTGCCTACGAGGACGCTGTCGAGACCTTGCAGTGGCTTAAAACCACCCAAGAGAGGTGGCTAACTCAATTTTGTGATTTTTCATGTTGTTTTCTCATGGGCACTAGTGCTGGTGCCAACATAGCCTACCATGCAGGGCTACGTGCAACCCAAGTTATTGATGATCTTCGGCCCTTGAAAATCAAAGGGTTGATTTTGCACCACCCGTTTTTCGGTGGGTCAGAGCGGGTCAGGTCAGAGCTTGGGTTGATTAAGGACCCGTTTTTGACATTATCCGGGACTGATTTTATGTGGGAGTTGTCATTACCCATCGGTTCAGATCGTGATCATGAGTATTGCAATCCAACGGTGGGCAGTGGGTCGAGTCAACTACAGCAGATCCAGTTGGCGGGTTGGCAGGTCTTGGTGACGGGTTGTAATGATGACCCGTTGATTGACCGTCAGATGGAGTTTGCAAATATGTTGAAGGAGAAGGGTTTAAGGACAGTGACCCACTTTGGTGAAGATCACCACGGGATTGAGCTATTTGTGGAGTCTAAAGCTAAGGATCTGTTTGTTATTCTACAAAATTTTATTACTTCATCGTGATTGGAGGGGAAGGTAGTTCATTTTAAAAAAGAAGAAGATAATTATCGAGTAATAAAGGTTGTACATTATACATCTTACTTGAAAACATTATAATAAAGATTGTATAATATTTTTAAAATTTCTTAATATTTACTGTGAGAAGTTTATATTACAATATATAAGAGTTTTAAAAATTAAATATTTTGATTTTTAAAAGTAAAAATTTTGTTGCAAATGATATTTAGGGATCAATTCTCATCGTCATGAGGATAGTCACTAAAAGGTCATCTTAAATAGTTAAAAATAAGGTTTTCAGCGACAAAATTTTGAAAATGTCAATAATAAATAAACTTTTAGGGATAAAATAATTTGGTCTGAAAATGATTTATTTTTTGAGACAAAATTTGTTCCCCAAAGGATAATAATTTATCACTAATGTTCAATTTTTGTTGCTAAATAATAATGACGACACTTTTCGCAACAAAATTATTTGGTCTCTAAAAAATAATTTTGTCCCTAAATTTTAGTTTCTAAAACCTTAATTTTTTGTAATGTTATTTCTAAAACTCTTGAATCAATAGCTCCTAGTTTAAATATATTGTTTAAGCCGAAATGACATTATTTGTCCATAAGGACATCCATCTATTCAAAACTTATCTATCTGTCTATTTGTATGAATATCCTATATCTATACACGTATTATCTATCTGTCCAATTATCTATTAAAATATCTCACTTTTTATTTAAATGGCTATGTTTATTTATCTATATATTCAATGATCATTCCACAAATATAGAATATATATTTAAAAAGTTTCAAAATTACCCCACATTTATTTATTTTTATTCCAAACTTAAAAATATTCAGTCTAGTAAAGCATCTCCGAGAATTCTTTAAATGAGACTTGATATTATAGATAGTGTTATCATATTTTTAAAAAAATTAAGGCCAAGTCCAGGCCAAGGAGTATTCGGGGCTCGGGCTGCTCAGGCCCGGGCCTGGGCCTAGGCTTGGATAGGGTTTGGGCAAGTCTGAATATTTTTTTTTTAATTTTTCTATCAAAATTTTATTTATTTTTCACTAAAAATGACACTGAGTTTCAGATGGGCCAGGCTTTTAAGCAGGCCTTGAGCGGGCCTACAGGCCGGGTTAGGTTTAAAAATGACGGCCTAGGCCTAAGGTTTCGGGTTGGAATTGGGCCTGGACCTAACCAAACCAGGCCCACCCCGGGCTGCAGGCCATATTAACACACCCCGATCCACAACAATTTCTGAATAATGGAAACATGGGTTTTTGGCCCAAGTTGGTGCGCCTCAATTCTTTGGGCCGAACTTTGGGGGTACTCTGGCCTATGGATCCATAATTTTGGAATTTGATGCCTGTACTGTTTGTTAGTTTTATCAAATTGCTCCTTGGTTTGCTAAAGTGGATCAGAATTCTCTGGAATGGATCTCATTATAATTGTATTATTGTGGTAATTTTGAAATTCATATAGGGTTTTAAACATCATTTCACTTCTCTTTTAACTCCAACAGTGAATTATATATTTTACTGATATATCTTCTTGTTTAAAAATATATATATATATATATATATATAAATTATTGTAGAAAAATCATAACAAAGAAACTAAATTCTTTGAAAAAATACTAGCGGGTGCAGGTACGAGGAAAAAAGAAAAAGAAAAAGGGAAATGTTTGAGAACTCGAAAATGTTTCCCCCTAATCCCCCGAAATTTAGAAACGACGTCGTTTCTAATACTTTCTTTATCAGACTTCTTTATCAGACTCCAAAACCCATCTCTGGCTACGCGCTACTCACTCTCTCCTCAGCTTCGAGCATCCTCTCTCCAGTCGACTCCATTGGAGCCCTTAATCCTCTCATCTTTCTCTACTCACTCTCTCTTCGAGCCCTTAATCACTTCCAAATCCTCTCATCAGCTACGGGTGTGGAGTCGCAGATCTGTGGACTCGCAGATCTTCTCTTCAGCTACGGGTGTGGACTCCCAGATCTTCTCTTCAACTAGAGTTTGTGTTTATATGTTATGTTGATTTCTGATTCTTATGATTGTTATGTAATTAATTTTAGGGTTTTCTTCTCTTCAATTAATTTTAGGGTTTTGGTTTTGTGTTGAATTCATAGATGTTATGTTGATTTCTGATTGTTATGATTGTTATGTAATGCCCAATTTGTGATATTATTAGGGTTTTGGTGTAAATAATTGTTGTTGATAAGTCCTGCATAGTGTGATATTTATTAGGGTTTTGGTTTTATTGCCCAATTTCCGATTGTTATGGTGTAAATATTCTGTTTATATATATTCTGTTTAAATGCATTTTGTGATATGTGGTATAGAATGTATTAAACAGAATGTATATAGGTTTGAAAGGAAACCGAAAAGAGTAGAACAAGTTCAATAATGTATAAGAATGTATGAAATAGCATGAATTCCATCTACTTAATTTTGATATTTGGTATGAAATAGCAACAATCCCCCAAACCCAATTTTGTAACTATTTTCATTCTGTTAAGACTCAGATTCAGATTTGAACATGTTCTGAGTTAAGCATTTGATTCATTTTTTGTATCAAATGATTAGCTATTACTTCTATCTATTTACAAATTATATTGGTCTATATGCATATTTGATTTGTGGGTTTGTATTTTTTTTTTTTTAGAGCAATTCAAACATGGGTTTTACTATATCATTAAGTGTTTCATGAGATGATCTGGATTTGGTTTAGGAATAATAATTGCTACCACAAGAAATTTTAAATGGGTCTTCAAAGAGGAGATTAACTAGATTGGCATGTGAATCTGGGTTTGATTGTTGGTTATCTCTGGTGTGAAGTTTCAAGGCTCATTGGTGTTTTCTTCCAAATTCTGATATTGGGATGGGTTGTCGGTGCTCTAAACTCAATGCATGTTGTTGGGTTTCGGAACCAAACGGGCCAATTCATGAGGCAACGAAAGTTGATTTTGAGGTTTGGACATAGCAGTGCCTTTGGAAATGTTTGTTTTAGACACTGCAATTTTCTTTGGATTGAATTCAATTCATTTGGGTTTTTGCATTCAATTCATATGAATTTTGGAAAACTAAATATAAATTTTGGACATAGCTTTGTATGTATCATGTCTGTGTTTTCCATTCTGTATGCAGATTACAAAATGGCTTGTTCCTCTAGTAACAATAGCAACGTAAGATTGAAACGAAGATTGTGCGATTGCGGGATAACAGCTGCCAGGCACACTGTCAAGTCAAATCAGAATGGAAATAAAGGTCGTGTGTACTTTGTGTGTCCATCGAAATATGTAAGCAGTATGGAAATTTGTTTGGAAATTTATTAGCCTCATTTGATTAACTGATTGTCATGCATTGTAGGTTAGTGAGGAACACTGCAATTACTTCAAGTTTGCAGATGATAATGATGACGACGAGATCTTCAATGCTACACCTCGTACATCTATAAAAAGCGAAGAATTTAACGATCGAAGCACAAGGGTTTATGAGATGGATAATGAATTTGATGAGCATGGTAGAAGGCTTCGAAGGGTGGAGATGAAATTGAATGTGATGCTTTATGTCATTGTATTTTGTATTATTTTCTATTTTATAATGTAAATTACTAAGTTGATAGCTTTTAGGGAATTTGATGGATGTAGTTATGGACTTAATGGACTTGATGCTTTATGTCATTGGCTTTGGATCTTGATTTTGTATCTCACTTTTGCCTTTGGATCTTAGTTGGTGTTATATAATCATTCGGTTGGATGTAATATGTGTGTGTTTAATCCGTGTGTGTGTTTAATCTGTACAAGGTTGGGATGATTCACCTTAGGTGTGTTTAATTTGTGTGTGTGTTGGATGACATTTGGTGACAGGTTGGGATGTAATATGTGTGTGTGTTTAATCTGTTCACCAGGTTGGGATGTAGGAAGAAGAACTTTTAACTGTCTGCTTGGTTTGTGAATGGCAAATTTGTTCACCAAATTGGTTTGTGAATGGCAAATTTGTTCACTAATTTGAAACTGGTGTAGACGTCCCCGAACGCCCCGGGAGGAACGTGCTCCCGTTCTGTTCATTTGGGGTCACTACAGCTCAGGACTCTCAAATTGTCACGGTTCTAAGTCTGAACCAAAGAGTCCAAATCCGGCAAATCGTTTTGAGAAAATAGATTTTTGAAAGAAGTGCCAAACATGGACTGCTTTGCTAGATACAGAGTCGCCACCTAAATATTTTGTTTTGGGAAATTTAGGAAACCCTGACTCGTTGCCTAAGGCCACGTATCTGTCATCACCAAAGTTGCCTCGGCTCGGGAACTTGGGTACAATTGGGGAAGGTCACTTCGTGAGCACCCCCGCTCGCCCGATCAAAGATCGGCCTCTACTAACCACGATATCAAGTTTTGAAAACATTGTGTGTTCTTATTCCGGTTATTAGCCTAGATTACTATGTGATGCGCACAACATACAAGTATAGACTGGGTCGCCTGAATTGGAACAAAACATTTCACGTTTGTTTTTTGAAAGATGGTTTGCTACTCGCAAGTAGGCTTAAAATGCAGATTTTGCCACCCTCAGGTGGGCTTAGAAAAGATGGTTTTGCTACTATCTAGTGGGCTTAAAACTCACAGTTGATGATTTGTCCCAATCCAAATGACCCAATCACGCATATCGATGCATGATGGCCGAGGGGTTGAATTGTGCAACTCAATATGGAATGAATGCACGTATAAACACAATAAATCCTAACTCCATCATGAATAATCCGGAGTGTCGGTGACTTTAAATTGAGACACATTCCGTCACTCGGAGTACGAAATGCACCTCGTTTCCCGTGCCTGGGCTAACTCCTATCCCGAACACGATGCGATATGCATGATATGCATGAAATGCAATTAAGATACAATCCTAACATGCACAATGCTATGAAATGGCATACACGATGCACGAGGTAACATGGCATACACAATGCACTAACATACGGCCTAGCATACACAATGCTATGAAATGGAATGGCATACGCAATGAAATAATGGGCTTACACCAACATGAGAGAGCCTCAGCCACACTCACATAGGAGGCCATCAGATGAAAACAAGACAACTCGAGATGCGTGCACGCGTGCACGCAAACCGAGGACCGACCCTCAGGCACCGAAATGCCACTCTAATGAGACATGGAAAAACATGGAATATGATATGAAAATATGCAAAAATCAGTAGCAAAATGAGGGGCAAAACAGCCCCGAAACGAGGCGAAATGACACTCGATGCATGGAATTTCTCCCGAAATGCAAAACTAGGTTCGTGAAATGGCTTACAGCTATACAAAACATGCATAATTGGTACATGGAATGAAAATACAGAAGCAAGGAAGCCCCAAAATAAGCATTTTTACAGTTCGAAGCATGGCCAAACAGTAAGCAAAAATGGGACTAAATTATCATACAAAGATGGCTCCGCAAGGGAGGCAATGAAGCAAGTGGTAGATCCAAAGCCCAAACAGAAAAAGACCCTTCTATAACACTGAAGAGGGACCAAAAATATGACTACTTACAGTTTATTTCAACCCCCAAAACAATATACAAGTATGCTCAACATGCCATGCAAGATAGGGCCCAAAAGAGGTCAAAACACAAAGTATACAAAACATTCATCAAACAGCCAAAGACCCTTAATGAAACATGACAAGGGGGTCAAAATATGGCCACTTTCAGTTCAGACCAAGGTCCAAAAACAGAGACACAATAGGCTAATAAATCATACAAAAATGGGGACCCAAGAGGGGTATAATGACAAGTGGCACATGGAGGTCCCAAACAGTGATGAGCCCTTCTTAAATGTTGAAGAAAGGCTCAAAATAAGCTCACTTACAGTTTACATCATGCTCCAAAACAGATCACACGTAGGCTAAAAATACTATGCAAGATTATGGCATACAAGAGGGATAATGAAGCAAGTGCAAGATGGGGACCTCAAATGACAAAATTCCCTTAACGAAACATGAAATAGAGCTCAAATAAAGGGTACTTTCATTTTTTTCTGGAGCTCAAAACAGCAAGAAAACTAGCTAGAAAAATGTTGCAAAATTAAGCTCAAAAAGAGGGAATTGACACTTACCCTCGAAGACCAACCCTTGGTTGCTTCTTGGCTTGAGAAGTGATGCCTCCTAGCTGCTGGAAAGCTCCCCAAGCTGCTGGAAATGGAGTAGTGGTGGTGATGCTAGGTGATGGTATGAAAATAGGGTAGGATTTGGGTGTTTTTTTGAAGGAAATGAGAGAGATGGAGGGAGATATGCATACAAGGCTCAAAGCCAATTTTTTCCAACCCCCAAGACCAATGCTGCCAGCCAGTTATCTAGACCAAAGAGAGGGGAAAAGGAGGGAAAGAAATGGGGGGAAAACAAGCCAAGTTTCCCCCCAAAAGTTGTCCCCCCGGACAGAGATTTTTGGAGGGAAAAAAGTGTATAGCTGTAATGTATATGTTGCAAGGGTCATGGCCGGCCACTTTTTGGAGCTGCAGGTGGCCGGCCGGCCACCTCCCATGGCTGGCCGGCCAAGGGTCAAAAGGGGCAAGAATATTTAATGGCCGGCCACCACAAATTGGTGTCCTCCCAGGTGTTCTCAACACAACCCTGTAATTCAAAATTGGCAACTGTAAAACAGGAGAGAGAGTAGGCCACTTTTAGGAAGGGTTCAAAAGGGTCAGGTGGAATTACTGGTCGGCCACAAACTTTTAGGGTCCTCCCATGTGTGTACAACACAAATATGTGGTTAGAAGTTCAAGAAAATAGTCCAAGGGCGGTCAACATTGGCTCGGAAGTGAGAAAAACGGGCGTCGGGGGGCGCCGGAGGATATATAACTGGTTGCTGAAACAATTGCTGGCCTCCCACCCCTCCACGTCCTTCCTGGTGATCAAACAGAGGTACCTTCCAAAAATGAACGAAAACCGATGCAAAACGAATGTTCGGGGGGCCAGAACGCGCAGTTCGGGGCCCCGAAAACTGCCTGTTAAGCACCGAAGGTGGTATTCGACCACGAAGTGGGTCTCTCAGATCTCAGTGTCCCTCAAAAGGGAGTAAATATGATGTATGCCAGAAACAGGAGCAAACGGAGATGGTTAAGCGGTCCCGAACCGAGGCACACAGCCAACGGCTCCGAAAAATCGGGAACAGGGCTCCGAAACTGGCAAAATGGCCTACAGCCACAAAATGTAGCCCACGGCCACTGAGAGATGGTCTACGGGACCTCTCCCTCCCCTCAGGAAAAGAAACAGAGAAAATCTGGTTCGCAAACCGAGGCAAGGCACAGAAGAGGGTTCAGAAATCCGGAGGCAGGGCTCACGGCCGCGACTCTGAGACTTCTAAACGAGCATAATATGCAGTATCACCGAGCGCTCAACTGGTGACGTCTGAGTCTTAAGGTCGGTCAAAAATGGGGTGTCTACAGCTGGTTGATGCAATTGAACATTCAAAAACTCAGGTGTAAAAATGTTTGTCTATGCTGATCAGAGATAAATGCACACATTACAAGCATGACCAAAAGTTGAGAGGAATTATGAAGAAGAGGTCTCAATGACAAATTCCATCTGAAAAAGAGAAGGTCAAGTTAATTTATTTTAAACTTAAATGTTGGTTTTGCTCAAAATTATGGTTATCAAAATAAATGTGTTGAGAAACCTGCTAAGTTTGACTGTGTGGACATAAACAAGAAAGGAAAAATACACCTTACTTGATGTGAACCAGTATAAGAACAACTATCAGTTTCCATGTCACCAACTGACCCCTTGAAGAGCTTAGGCAAACCAACAAATTACAATTCACATTCTGGATAGAATTCATATTTGCCATTCACAAACCAACAAATTTGAATTCACATTCATTCTAAACTGCACACAGAATTTTGTGACACAACACAAAATGTCCAAACACAGAATTTGTCACATTCATTCTGCTCCTTTCAAAACAGGTTCACAGAAAAAAATACAGATCTTCCAGAATCTGTTAAAACTTGTTAAAACCTGTCCAAAAAATTCAGAATCTGTTTCGTACATGTCCAAAAATACAGATCATACAGATCTGTTAAAACCTGTTAACATTCATTCCAGAATCTGTCCAAAAATTCACATTCAAATCTGTAAAAACCTGTTAACAGAATCTGTTTGAACGTACAGATCTTCACAGAATCTGTTTAAACATATTGATCTTGACATAATCTGTTTGAATATAAATACATTCTACAGAACCTGTTTGAACAGAATCTGCTGTTCAGAATCAAATATAACCTGTTAAAAACATACAGAACCTGTTTCAATATAACTTCTTCAAAATATAATCTGTTCAGCATGTGTTAAGAAAAACCAGTTCAAAAAATAAAATATCTGTTCAGCATGTGTTACAAATTCCATACTACGAAACTAAAAAAAAAAATTGAGTATTTGGATCCACATCTATATTGAAGTCGACAAAAGTTGAACCATCTATATTCGCCATTCCTGATTCACTCAAAGATGAGCTTCCAACTTTGTCTACCATTTGCAATGCGCTCTCTTGTGTCCCGTCCATACAAGGAAAATAGTAGGATTGAGCTTCCGGCACCTTATGATACATAATAACAAAATATCATTAATAAGTTCAAACATTTAAATAAATACCATACAAAACCAATTGAGTGGACCATGAAACACATACCCGATTGTACATATTATTTTCCATTCCATCCGTACAACCGAAATTCAACTTACGAGGTTCACATTGACCCATCTTACGACCCTATAGTAACACACATTGGTGACAAAGTTAGAAAAAAAGAAATTCAGAAATTTACATATAAGCAAAAAATTAAAAAATATACCTGCACTTTTGTTGCCTTTTTATTCTTTCCCTTTAACCGATTTACTATTTCGTCCACCTTGCTCACCTTCCGTTTCATACATGGACGGCCTCTTCGGCGAGCAACCAAAGGACTAAGCACCTTGCGAGTAGTACTACAAGGTGGCACATTACTGCTACAAGGTGGGACAGTACTACTAGAAGGTGGCACATTACTCGCACAACGAGATTCATCTTTTCTTACTCTTTCCTTGATTTCTCTCAACCCAAGTTGAATGGCTTTGTGTTTACCATCATTGTTGGAAGCAATTTCTATAATTTCATCCAATGTCTTGTGGTAGTTCTCATGTACCTTTGCATTGAGGCCAGCCCCGGATTTCGTGTATGTTGTTGGAATACATGTGTACCCTCTTTCCAAATCTTTTCTCCATCTCGACATAATGTACTTATTAGGAATCTCATATATGCTCCTCTCAATGAGCACACTAAGGGAATGGGCACACATGATCCCCCTAAACTCAAACCACCGACACACACATTGCATTTCAAATTCAGTTGAATTAAAGTAAACAAGAAATTCAACTTTCTTCATTTTCTCACCCACAAGCACAACTTCCTTGACATGATAGGTACAAATGGATCCCTCCTCCTTCACAAGATTCGCATGACAATACAGTAGTCGCTTCAATTCTACTTGAACTTCTTTAAATTTCGCATTTGTGTAGGCTACACGAAATTGCTTCTCAAACTCATACACCATTAAACAATCATACAATCTGTCTCGCGATTTGAAGTCTGCTTTGGTGTCCTTCTCCACCTTACTTCTCAATGCATTGTCGTACTGTTCAACAAATTGCTTTAAAGTAGTCTTTGAGTTGACATAGCCATCAAAAACCGCATTCATGCTCTCACTTCGCTGTGTAGTTGACATGCCAGCCCAAAATATATCTTTCACATAGGCAGGAATCCACCTATGTCGCTCAGCATATAATACTCCCAACCACTCGTTGTCATGGAGGCTAAACTTTTCAATCATTGTTTGCCATTCCTCATCAAATTCATCTTTTTTGAAAGAATCATAGACTGCACTTTGTAAAGCGAATTTGATGGCTTCATATTTGGGAATATCCTCTCAATTTCTCAGGAATTTTCTTCATTACATGCCATAAACACCAACGATGTCGAGCCTCTGGGAAGACAATCTGTATGGCATTTTGCATGGCTCTGCACTGGTCAGTTATAATAGCATTTGGAGGAGTGGCTGACATACAATTTAACCATTCTTTGAATAGCCAAACAAATGTCTCCGTGTTCTTATTACATAATAGCCCATAACCAAACAAGATTGATTGTCCATGGTGATTAACTCCTACAAACGGAGTAAACGACATATCATACTAGTTTGTGAGATAAGTGGTGTCAAATGAGACAACATCTCCAAATGCTTTATAAGCTGCCCTACTCCTTGCACCCACCCAAAATAAGTTTTGTATGCGACCATCTACATCAAAGTCAATTGCAGAGTAGAAGTTTGAATTTTCTTGTTGCATCCTATGAAAATAAAATGCAACTGATTCGGCGTCTCCTACCCTAAGCCTCAATCTTCTAGCATTTTCAATGTGGTTCCTTACATCTCGTTCATCAAATGTTAATGCCTTATATCCCCCCGCTTCAACAACTATAGAATGAAAATTCCTAGATACCCCTATTCCTGCTTCATCATTTATTTCTAATCTTCTCTTCACAGGAGTACGAATCCTCTTATTCATTGGAAAATGGCATGAGTCGCTAGAAATTAAATCATGCGTATGGTCAAGCACAACTGTAGTTAACTTATATCTTTCATCCGGTTGTAAAATGGCTCTTATCCTAGCTTTACAATCAATTTTTTATGACAAAGATGGTTTCAGGGGGTTTACTTCTGATCTTTTTGTCCTCTTCTGCGCCCCAGTACATTCAATTCCAAAGTATTTCACCTTTCCATCCGATCTAACATTCTGTGTTTTGTAAGCTATAGCAAATCCAAGGTTTTTAGCATATTTTGCATAAAACTCGTGAACTTCTTGCTTTGAGGTAAACCACATCCCCTTCTTAGGTTCTTCAATTTCGTCACTCTCATTTAATGAAGGATTGTTCTCTGCTTCCTCAACTTCCTCACCCCCACTCAATGTAGGATTGTTTGAATCAATGTCCATTGTACCTTCAAACTCAAATGCGAAGTGTGAAACAGTTTGTATACATCACACAAATTATGTTCATACAAGTTCTGTTCATAAATTATGGTTATGTTCATATAGGTTCTGTTTATACACAAATTATGTTCATCAAACTCAAATGCAAAGTGTGAAACAGTTTGTCCAAAACAGGTTCTGTTCATACAAAAAACATATGCATAATGACTTAACTGGGTTTTGAACCTGTCACTTAGAACAAAGAGCACATTGAGACACATTTAATTACAAAAATGGATAATATCCTTGGACAAGAAACAGAATGAACTCGGTTAGTCCACAAAAATGGATTTCTTGATTGTCTTTGGACAATTAGATGAACAGCACAGAAATTCTGAAATCGATAAATTCATTTTTGTGAAATCCACAAATAGATGAATACCACAGAAATTCAGAATGAACTAGGTTAGTCCACAAATTCAGAAATCCATTTGTGGATAATACCATTTTTGAACTAGGTTTCTATAAACATAATTTTGGAGTCTGATAATACCTAGCTGATTTATACATAATTCCCTCTCCGGTCGAGTTCTCAAACATTTCCCTCTATAAAATTATGTATAAATCAACTAGGTTTCTATAAAATTATGTACAAAGATTACCACTACTAAATCAATAAATACATTACTAACAAAACAGTAGCATTCTATGAACTAGGTTTCAGAAGAAGAAACAGAGACATACCCTTGGACAAGAAACAGAATGAAGAAGAAACAGAGGCCTCAGAAGAAGAAAAGCCGAACAACACAGTCACTTCGACAGAGTTTTTTGCTGGTCGTCGGTGGTCACCCAGGTCGGTGGTCGATCTCAGTGGTATTCTTCTTCGACGGGCTCCTCTTTCTCTCCTCTCCTCTCCTCTCCTCTCTTTTCTTCTTCTATTTCGCACGTGGTGTTGGTAGATTGACAGTGATCTCAAAACTCACCTTTATCAATTTCAGGGGATTCGGAGGGTAAGTTTTCGAGCGACGCAGTGGAACTGAAAAAAAAAATACCCATCACTTGCAACAACCAAAGGTTCTTTTGTTGTTTAATATAGAATTAGGGTGAAACGTCTATTGAAAATAGGTGAAAAGGTTAAAAGAGTTTTGAGATTAATGAAAAATATTTATAAAAAAAAAAAATTTTTAAAAAAAAAAGGGGTTTTATTTTTTAAATTTTTTTTTTTTTTTTTTTTTTTTCCCAAAAACCTTTTTTTTTTTTTAGTTTTTTTTAATGAGCGGAAAAGAGACTTATTAATGAAATCTAATTTAAAACACTGAGACAAATAGCATTAAAGAGTATCATAGCAAAACTTTTCAAACTCAATTATGTTGCCACTGAGAAGATTTTTTTTTTTCTCTCTCTGCAGTCATAATTGAAAATATCACAAGTACAACACTTCATATGAAAATTCTTTGAACTTAGCATTATGATGCCACCCATTCCGGATCCAAGCACATCATACTTCTATAATTATTGCGAATGCCAAACTAAACAATACTTTTTTTATTGGAATATAATAATTTTTTTGAAAATAAATACAGAAGGCCAAAAAGATATATATATATATATATATATATGCATAATTACACATTCCAAACAAAAATGTAAAACCAATCAAACTATTCAAACTTGACTCGCATTTGATTTACTAAAACTTCATTTAAAGTTGATTCATTATGTAAATTAATCAAACATAAATTCATTTTAAAAGTTGTCTTATTTTCAAAACCAAGATTAAATAACATATATCTTGGCAAGCTTAAACAAAGATTACCACTACTAAATCAATAAATACATTACTAATAAAACAGCAGCATTCTATGAACTAGGTTTCAGAAGAAGAAACAGAGACATACCCTTGGACAAGAAACAGAATGAAGAAGAAGAAACAGAGGCCTCAGAAGAAGAAAAGCCGAACAACACAGTCACTTCGGCAGAGTTTTTTGCTGGTCGTCGATGGTCACCCAGGTCGGTGGTCGATCTCAGTGGTATTCTTCTTCGACGGGCTCCTCTTTCTCTCCTCTCCTCTCCTCTCCTCTTCTCTCCTCTCTTTTCTTCTTTTATTTCACGCATGGTGTTGGTAGATTGAAAGTGATCTCAAAACTCACCTTTATCAATTTCGGGGGATTCGGGGGATAAGTTTTCGAGCGACGTAGCGGAACTGAAAAAAAAAATACCCATCACTTGCAACAACCAAAGGTTCTTTTGTTGTTTAATATAGAATTAGGGTGAAACGTCTATTGAAAATAGAACATAAGTAGATGAAAAGGGTATTTTGGTCTTCTTATCTCAAATTGGACCTAATGGAATAGTCAAAAAGAATATGGGTTGGATGGAATAAAGCTCTTAGAAAATGGATTTATCAAAAAAACTCCCTTTTTTTTTAGTTTTTTTTAATGAGCGGAAAAGAGACTTATTAATGAAATCTAATTTAAAACATTGAGACAAATAGCATTAAAGAGTATCATAGCAAAACTTTTCAAACTCAATTATGTTGCCACTGAGAAGATTTTTTTTTTCTCTCTCTCTGTAGTCATAATTGAAAATATCACAAGTACAACACTTCATATGAAAATTCTTTGAACTTAGCATTATGATGCCACCCATTCCGGATCCAAGCACATCATACCTCTATAATTATTGCGAATGCCAAACTAAACAATACTTTTTTTATTTGAATATAATAATTTTTTTGAAAATAAATACAGAAGGCCAAAAGGATATATATATATATATATATGCATAATTACACATTCCAAACAAAAATGTAAAACCAATCAAACTATTCAAACTTGATTCGCATTTGATTTACTAAAACTTCATTTAAAGTTGATTCATTATGTAAATTAATCAAACATAAATTCATTTTAAAAGTTGTCTTATTTTCAAAACCAAGATTAAATAACGTATATCTTGGCAAGCTTAAACAAAATTCGTTGATTTTTCAAATGAAATTTAAATAAACTTCAATGACTTACATCAATTTAGTTAAACTGATAATGCACCTTTAGGGACTGACGTTCATTTTAAAATGATTCATTCCTTTTTTAATATACCATTTTGTCATTGATTTCTATCTATTTTTTTAGTTGATGTCATCAATTGGACTACACAATGTGAAAAATTAAAAGATAAAATTGATATAATTAAAATTAAATGATCAAAATCAATAGATGAAATAAATTATAAGGATTACAAATATAGTTTGGCAAGAAATAAATATTATTTTGCCATCGTAGGTAACAAGAAAGATATAGAAAGAAAAAAAAAAAAAAATATATATATATATATATTGTGGCTTTGAGACGGCTTCATAAGTCATAAAATGATTTAAATAAATGCAACGGTATTTTTCTGTTACAAAAAAATAAAAATAAAAATAAAAACGACATCGTCTTACTCTTTTGAACATTTCTCTTTTCACCCATTTTTTCATATTTCTATCTCTCTATCTCTGTCTCTGTCTCTGTCTCTCTTCTCTTTCTCTCTCTCTCACTCATAACTTTTCTCTGTCTGTCTGTCTGTCTGTTTCTCTCTCTCTCTCTATGTGTCTCTGTCTCTCTTATCTCTCTCTCTCTCACTCATCACTCTTCTTTATCTGTCTGTCTCTTTCTTTCTCTCTATGTTTCTGTTTCTCTTCTCTTTCTCTTTTTCTCTCTCACTCATCACTCATCACTCTTCTCTGTCTGTCTGTCTGTCTGTCTCTTTCTCTCTGTGTCTCTCGTCCATCTTTCTTCTCTTTATCTCTCTCATCTCTCTTCCCTCTCTCCTCTTTATCTCTCTCGCTCATCTCTCTTTGTCTCTCTCTCGTTTATCTCTTTTC